ACACCCTGACCAACAAGATAAGGGATGAGTAAATCACGATGATGACTCAACGGTTCATCATTAGGTGAGAGGATCAATATTTCCCGTTATCATAATTTTTTCTTTTAGTAACGAGTGAAACCCGCATCCATTATTTGAAAGTGTGCACTAAATAAATCGCATATTGTGATATGGCCCGCAAGGGAATAACTTCTTTTATTATGGAGATGAGAGGAAGAAGCTTAATTATTTAAAATTATCATGAATTAAACGATTTTTTTTTAATTGTCACTAAATTTGTGTCGTTGAATCATGTATGTCAATGACTAGTGTCCACAATTGATTTATGGTTAAGGAAAATAAAAGAATTTATGATAACATCTATAATAATTTATATTCTAGATATTAACAATACATAAATAAATTCAAGGGTTTCTCTCTAGGGTTTTTCTAGAGCTCTCTCTAAATTTTTCTAGGGTTTCTTTCTAGGGTTTCGATTTGGCTTAACTTACTATGGTGATCAGTGCGACTGCTTCTGTTGTTGATTAGCGTGTGACTGTAGTGTGATGGAGCGACAGTCAGACGTAGCTGCTGAAGAGGAGTTGGTGGAGGGGTATGCGGGGATTACTCTTCATGATGAAGACGACGTACTGGTTCCGGCAGGGGAGTTCATCGCGGCGGAAACGGGGGAGAACCGACGTACGTGTGTGCTAGTAGGCAAGTTTTTGACGAGACATATGGTGAAACTAGAGTTTATGCGGGAGGTTTTGGCTTCCGTGTGGCAGCCCGTGTGTGGTGGGCAGGTCTCAGAATTACAACCTAATTTGTTTATGTTTGTTTTCTATCATCAGACGGACTTGCAGCGTGTGTTGGATGAGGGACCATGGTCGTTCGATAATCATACCTTAGTGTGTAGACCGGTGGAGGATGGGGTACTTCCGGTGGAGGTGGTGCTTGATAGTGTTGATATGTGGGTTCAGGTCTATGGACTCCCTATGGGATATACATCCATGGTCATACATGAGCAGGTTGGAAATTTTCTTGGTAGGTTTATGAAGGGGGATGAGAGGTTTGATGACCGACCGTGGAAGGCATTTTATCGGATCCGTGTCAGTATTCCGGTGGCTAAGCCGTTGCGGCGGAGGATGAAGTTGTCAAAACGGGATAATACGTGGTGTTGGGTGAATTTTAAGTATGAAAGATTACACACTTTTTGCTTCTTCTGTAGTTTGTTAGGCCATTCATACAAATTTTGTCTGTAAGCACGTATTTCAACTTTAACGGTGGACCAGTATCCGTATGGGGTTGAGATTAAAGCGGGGTTGCAGAGTGGACCGAGGCCGGTTGGCCATTCTTGGCAAATCCCGGTGGGGGGGGGGGGGGAAGATGGAGGAGGTGGTTGAGGGTGGGGGGATGCCGGTTGGCTTGGGGATGGATGGCGGTTTTGGGGGTGGTCCGGTAGGGCAGCCGGTGGCGGAGGAAGGGGTGTCGTGTGGACCGAAGAGGCGGAGGGAAGAGGGGCGGGATGGTGAGGGAGTTGGGGAAAGGGTTGGTGTGGATATGGCAATTACAGACATTTCAAAAAACTTGTTCATGGCGGGTTCTGGTTCCCAGACTCGCCCGTCATTATGAGTACTTTGAGTTGGAACTGTCGTGGCTTGGGTGATCCATGAACAGTTCGGGAACTACTGGATATGGCATCCAGGAAGAAACCTAATTTTATTTTTCTTATGGAGACAAAGGTTGGTAGAGAACATGCTGAGCAGTTACGTGTGAAACTGGGGTTTCAGGGCCTGTTTTATATCGATAATAGGGGGTTGAGTGGTGGCTTAGCCTTGTTGTGGAAAACGATGATACAGTTAGTCTGCTAAGTTATTCAAGAAATCATGTTGATGTAGTTGTGCGGATTAATGGTTTTGTGCCCTGGAGGATGACGGGATTTTATGATTTCCCGGATCGTAGTAGTAGGGAGGAGTCATGGAATCTGTTAAGACACTTAAGATCTCGCTCAACGCTGCATTGGGTGGTTTTGGGGGATTTCAATGACCTGCTCTTCCAGTATGAGAAGAAGGGATGTCTTTGGCATCCTGAATCTTTATTGATGGGTTTTAGTGAGGCGCTGGGGGATTGTGGTTTGGTGCAGGTCCCTATGATTGGGTACCAATTTACTTGGGAAAAGGGGGAAGGCACGGAGGATTGAATGGAGGAGAAGTTAGACAGTGTTGTGGCGTGTGATGAGTGGCGAGTGGTTGTGGAGGGTGCAAGGGTCTATAATATTCTTACTAGGAGATCGGATCATTCGGCTCTATTCCTGGACATTCGGCCAGGAGTGGGGAACCGAGTATGGCCTCGACAGTTTCGTTTTGAGATGGCCTGGTTGCTGGATGAGGGATGTAGAGAGGTGGTGGAGGAGGCGTGGGGACATGGGATGGAGGATTTGCAGACCCGGTTGGAGAGGTGCGGTTTGAGGCTTCAGAGTTGGGGTGGTGATCGTTTTCATAAGTTTGGAGAATGGATTGCTAATCTCAAGAAGCAGTAGATGAATTGTCGGGGTCGTATGAGCCCTCAGGCGTTAGAGGACTTTCGCCGTCTGGAAACCGAATTGGTGAGGCTTGAGAAGCAAGAGGATGTATTCTGGAGGCAGAGAGCTAAGTAATACTGGCTTCATGGGGCGGATGCAAATACTCGTTTCTATCACAGGTATGCTTCTGCCCGTAAACGTAAGAATACTATTTTACGCCTTAAAGATGATTTGGGTGGTTGGGTAGATGGTGATGCAATGAAACCGGTTGTAATGAATTATTTTAAAGACATTTTTACTGCTAATCCGGTTGTGAATGATGGGGCGGACTTTTTGCCTCTATCCCCACTCGTGTAACCCAGTCCCATAATGATTGGTTGAATCGACCTTATGATCCGGGGGAGGTAAGGGATGTTTTGTTTGCTATGTTTCCAGACAAGGCTCCGGGTCCGGATGGAATGAATCTGGGCTTCTATCAGAAATTCTGGGATATTGTTGGGACAGATGTCACTGGTTTTGTGCTGGAGTGTTTAAATACGGGGTCTTTGCCAGTTGGCCTTAATGAGTCAAATATTGTGCTTTTCCCAAAAACGCAGTCCCCGGAGGTGGTGACTGATCTGCGACCGATCGCCCTGAGTAATGTTGTGTATAAGGTAGTGGCAAAAGTTATTGCTAACCGTATGAAGCCCCTGTTGGGTGATGTTATTTCTGTTTCGCAAAGTGCTTTTATCCCTGTCAGGTTGATAACGGATAATATTTTGGTTGCTGCTGAGGTAGGCCATTTCCTGAACAGGAAACAGCTGGGAAAGGTGGGGTGGGGAGCACTGAAGTTAGATATGACGAAGGCATACAATAGAATGGAGTGGTCGTTCTTGAGGAAGATGATGTTGGCGTTTGGTTTTCAGGTGAGATGGGTGAACCTGATTATGGAATGTGTTATTACAGTATCATACAATGTCATGATTAATGGTGTGTCAGGAGGTCAGATTATCCCGTCCCGTGGGCTCCGTCAAGGGGATCCTTTGTCCCCATATTTGTTTATTATCTGTGCAGAAGGGTTATCATTGTTATTACAGTAGGCTTTGGATAGAGGTGTTGTACATGGGTTAAGGGTGGCGAGAGGGGCCCCTGCTCTCTCACATCTCTTTTTTTTTGCGGATGACAGTCTGTTGTTTTTCAAGTCAAATGTGGGTGAGGCACAGGCAATCAAACGGTGTCTTACATTCTATGAGGAGCTCTCTGGTCAGACCCATTAACTATCATAAATCAAATATTTGTTTTAGTAGAAACACTCAACAGTTGGATAGGGATATTGTTGCTGCAGCATTTGGGGTTCAGTAAGCGGTGAATTTTGGAAAATATTTAGGCTTGCCGGCTTTTGTTGGGAGGAATAAGCGTGCGGTGTTTGCATATGTGGAGGATAAGGTGAGCCAGAGAATTGACTCTTGGAATAAGAAACTTCTGTCACGGGCAGGGAAAGAAGTTTTATTGAAATCTGTGGCTCAGGCAATGCCGACTTTTACTATGAGTGTTTTTCTGTTGCCTGATTCTCTGTGTAAAAATCTGCAGCTTGTTATGAATAGATTCTGGTGGCGTAATGGGAAGGATGGGGGTGGAATTCATTGGCTTGCTTGGGATAAATTGAGTATTCCAAAGAAGTATGGTGGATTTGGTTTCAAGGATTTGAGAGCTTTCAATGTTGCTATGCTGGGCAAGCAGGGGTGGAGGTTTCTGACTAATCCCCAATCGCTAGTAGCAAAGGTGTATAAAGCCAGGTACTACCCAAATTCTGATTTTCTGAATGCCCAGGTTGGAGCTTTGTTGGAGGAGTATTATGGCTGCACAGGACCTGATTACTCGTAATATCAGGCGTAGGATTGGGAATGGTAACACTGCGTTGGTATGGGGAGATCCGTGGTTAATAGGGGATTCTAACCCAATGATTGTGTCGGATAAACCCCCTCATTTGGGGGAGGTTAAAGTGTCTGGATTAATAGACCCCGCATCCTCTACTTGAGACATTCCTTTACTTAATGAGTTATTTTCATCCAAAGATGTAGATCGGATTACTACAATACCTATTAGTCCTGCCTATGATGATATGTGGTATTGGCATGGGGACCCAAAAGGAATATATATAGTGAAGGGTGCTTACGGTGAATTAATGGGGACCGTTAATGTACCCCCTAGTGGCTTCTCATCTTGGAATAAGATTTGGAACCTAAAGGCTCCTCCTAAGTGGAAAGTTTTCTTGTGGAGAGCGGTGAGGGGTGTGCTTCCTACCACTATGAATTTATACAATAGGAGGGTAGAAGTCCCATTAGCAGGCCCTTTGTGTGCTCTATGTTCTGAAAATGTTTTACACTCTTTGGTGCAATGTGATTATTCTAAATGTGTGTGGAATGTTTCGGGTTTAATGGTGTAGAGTACGGTGGGTGATGACTTTGGTGCATGGCTCAAAATTTTATTGCAAAATGTTGATGAGAATCAATTCACATCTATGGTGGTCGTTATGTACCATATTTGGTTGCAACGGAACTCGACAGTATGGGAGTTCAAGGTGGGAAGGCCGGCGCAGGTACATGCGAAGGCATTTGCATCCCTTGATGCTTGGCGTGCGGCCACGTTTGGCTCGGATTGGCAGCAGCAGCCTATGGTACCCACTGCCGCGTCTGGGCAGTCGCCCTTGGTGCTCCAATGTTCATTCGATGCGGCTTTCTCGGCCGCAACAAGGAGAGCCGCTTTTGGCCTTGTGTTGCAAGATTCGAATGGTGTTTTCATTGCGGCCAAGAACGGTCCCGTACCATTGTGTCAGGGACCCTTTATGGCGGAGGCTTATGCGTGTAAGGAGGCCCTATCCTGGCTTCGAGATCGTGGGGTTACGGAAGTTGTGCTCCGGACAGACTGTTCGAACCTGTGTCACACTCTTGTCAATTCAGTGACTGAGTTTCACACTTATGATGGTGTAGCTGTTTCAGCATGTCAAGACTTGATGGATTTATTAGTTTCTTGTTCAGTTATTTACATTCCCCGCTCTTTAAATGTTTTAGCTCATTCGTTAGCTCAGGCAGCCTCTGGGCAGCCGAACTCTTCGATATGGGAGGAGTTTCCTCTTGCATTTGTTTCGGCTTTGATTAATTAATATATGCAGCATATTACTTTCAAAAAAAAAATCGATGCATTCAAAATTTTACTAAGTTGGAAAAGTAAGTCATATAAACTGATACGGAAAGTGTGTAAATGAATTATCACACTGGACCAATAATTGCATATACCACTGTGAACAAAGAAAATTGAATTATATTTAGAAATTCAAAATTCCGGTTACATATCAAGTATCAATGCGGTGTGGGTACAAGATCTCTTAATGTCCTCTGATTCTTCAATTTGATACCTTGAACACTCCACCATTGAAGGGCCTCCGGGTTTCAAGTGGCTTGATCTTCAAAGAAGGGCTTGTATATATAGCTTGTTCTTCTTGAAGGGCCTCCGGTTCAAATGGCTTGATCATCAATGGAGGTTTGGATCAATAGGCATAGGCATGATCATTATGGAGGAGGGACTATTACTTTCAGGATCACATTTTTTATTGTGATCTCTGAATAAACTTGATGTTTCTATCAATTGTTCCTAGGATATGTGATTACATAGAAATAAGAGGTCCTATTTATAACGATAGGATAGAAGAGTTTTGATAAACTAAACTCTTTTGATATTATCTAATTAACAAAATAGATAATATCAATATTATCCATACATAAATTTAAATATACTAATATTGATAAATAATCAATATTTATCAAAATTTAAGTGTCAACAAATGCCCCCTTGAGACTTGCTTCACCACCTGAGAGAATATACCACTTGAAAGTATGTAGTGTAAAGAAGTCTCGACACTACAATTAAAGATATAAGGCCGTTTCAACTCGTGCCAAGGAGTATCTTGAAGGATATGAGGCCGTTTCAACTCGTGCCAAGGAGTATCTTGAAGGATATGAGGCCGTTTTAACTCATGCCAAGGAGTATCATTTAGCCTCATCCATTTCAAATTTCCTATGGGGTTTGCCCCCATACAGGTTGAAAGTGCTTATGAAGAGATGAGAGGCAGAGCTGTCCCACTGGGCATGCCAATTTGTGATGAAAGAAAATTGAATTATATTTAGAAATTCAAAATTCCGGTTACATATCAAGTATCAATGCGGTGTGTGTACAAGATCTCTGGATGTCTGATTCTTCAATTTGATGCCTTGAACACTCCACCATTGAAGGGCCTCCGGGTTTCAAGTGGCTTGATCTTCAAAGAACAACTTGTATATATAGCTTGTTTTTCTTGAAGGGCCTCCGGTTCAAATGGCTTGATCATCAATGGAGGTTTGGATCAATAGGCATAGGCATGATCATTATGGAAGATGGGCTTTTACTTCCAGGATCATATTTTTTTATTGTGATCTCTGAATAAACTTGATGTTTCTATGAATTGTTCATTGGATATGTGATTACATAGAAATAAGAGGTCCTATTTATAGCAGTAGGATAGAAGAGTTTTGATAAACTCAAACTCTTTTGATATTGTTAATTAAGATAATATCAATATTATCCATACATAAATTCAAGTATACTAATATTTATAAATAATCAATATTTATCAAAATTTAAGTGTAAACAACCATATATAAACATCATGAAATTAAAATCAACAACAATCGAATTATGATAGAAAGAAATTAAAACACATCAGATTTGATTACAAACCGTATCTATACGTATGTACCTATGAATACACATTTCATTTACACATATAACTTGAATTAGGTTAAATTGTTGATTTTTTCATGAAATTAAATTATTATTTTTTTCAAGAAATAAAGTATACTGATGGAAGCAGACAACGTAAGAAAAACTATTGCATTTTTCTGGGGTTTTTTTTTTCATTAAAAAAAATTGATAAAAAAAAAACATATAACATATTTATCACTATTTATTTTTTATATTAATTTTTAAATGAGGAAATATGAAGTTCGTTAAATCTACATGATGGGTGAGGACCCCAGCCCAAGAAGATGGGCCCAGAGAGAAAGAGTCCAGAAGGGAAGACATGGGTCAATAATGAAAAAGTCCGGTGGTAGCCTGGGCCGGGTCCAGGAGTCGGCCCAGGCCCATGTGCGAAAGGAGACTCGGTCCAGGAGCCGTTAAGAAGCATTCAAGAGCCGCATTAAAGGAGACTCGGCCAAGGAGCCGTTAGGAAGCATTCAAGAGCCACATTCAAGAGGACTCGCCCAAGCGGACCTTTAGAAGTCCAAAGGGCCGTTGGCCGGCCCCGTAACGGCGCCCAAACAGCCTTATTCTATAAATATCCATGAAGGCAGTCTTTAATGTGCTTCAATTCGACCGGAAGGGAGCGTACTATATAAAGGCCCCTCCGCCCTTGCAATCGGGGCGGATCCATGCCAAGAGAATAGAGCGACACATTCCGACAACTACTCCTTTTCCGTTCTACTCCTAGCAATTTTGTTGAAAGGTGTATCCACCAACTAAGGTTGTGTTGGACCTCCTTGGGCCCAAAAACCAACACTGGCGCCGTCTGTGGGGATCGTGACAAAGAATTACATTCTCCTCTGAGCAGACAAGTACACAAGACGACCAAAGACATTTAGGAAATGTGAGAACTTCGCAACATGTCGGAGGAACGGAGCCAGGCGAATAACCGCAATAACGCTCCAGGAGTCGACCTGAGAGAGCAGCTGAATCAGCGAAACGCTCAAAGTCAAGAGAACGAGTCGGCATCCTTGAACCGACCTCCAACCATAATGCCGTTCACTCCCAAACAAATCCGAGCCCTAGGGCGGGCCATCGGCGCGGAAAACCGGGGAATGGGAGAACGGTCGGTCTCGCGACCGCCGCCCCGCGACCAACAGCCGCCTCAGAGATCCAGCGAAGGTAGGCGAAGAAATCGACGAGCGGAGAGTGTGCCGGTACGGTCGGTCTATTCTAGGCTCGGTCCAGATATCGTGCGCCGATCCGCGAGAGAGCGATTGGGAGAGAGAGAGTCCAGTCGCGTACCGGGGGGACTACCGAACCGAGAGGTTGTCTGAGAAAGGGCTCGCACTAGAAGAACAAGGACTCGGGCACGACGGTCCGAGCGACCTAGACGTAACAATGACCAACTGGCTGAGTCCGAGGCCAGTGAAAGCACGGAGTCCACCGGGAATCACACGCAAAATGAGGAGGATGTGGCTCAATTGGCCCGAGAGGTGCGAAATCTGAAGGAAAAAATGGAGGAAATGACCAAATCCCCCGGGCGAACATTTCTCACCGCTTTGCCATTCTCCTCCGAGATCATGTCTTACAAAGTACCCGGCGACTTCAAGTTCCTGGAACAGGCCACCTTCGACGGATCCGGCGATCCAAGAGAACATCTGCTAAGTTACCAGGCCAAGATGCAAGTCTTAGGAGTCCGAGACCCGGTAATGTGGCGCGCCTTCTTGCCCACGCTAAAAGGATCGGCACAAAGGTGGTTGGTGGCGCTGCCTTCAGGGTCGATTCGCAACTTTGAGGAGCTAGCCGACCGCTTCATGAGTCATTATGCGACCAACATCAAGCCACAGAGGGATCTGACCCATTTGGGAGACATCCACCAGGAGGAGGGTGAGCCCTTGAAGGCCTACTTGGCTCGCTGGCAGAAGGAGATTCAATCTATTGAAGAGGTCGAGGATCAGACTGCCCTCACCATCTTCATCGAGTCTTTACGATCCGGGCAGTTATACCGGGATTTGCGGGATAATCGTCCGGCCAGATACGCGGAAGCCATACACATGGCTAATAAGCGGGCTAACACAGAGCAAGCTATGAAGCACAAGCGACAGCGTAAGGTCAGAGGATCCGCCAGCGGAAAGAGAACCCGCACGGAAACCAAGGAAAGACGTCCGGAAGTGGCTCGGCGGCCCAAAGTTAGGCGTCCATATGACAGGCCTATCGTTCATCCCTATAGACCGACTCCTCAACACCCGGTACATGAGGTACAAGCAGTCGCGCCACCTCCGCCCCCGCCGACTGAAGGTCGCGTGACGAAGAGGAGACAGGTAAGACCTCTAAATACTACCGTTATCACAAATCTTACACTCACAGCACGGAAGAGTGATACTACTTGAAGAAAATCATGGAGGGGATCATCCAGCAAGGAACCCCGCCTCCCAATCAGTGGAGGAGAAGGTCGGCGGCCCAGGAAGATAGCGACCCCGCAGTAGCAGCCGAGAGCAGTCGCGGCAAGCAGTCGGCTACCGAGGAAGATGAGGCCCAGTGGCGTCAGAAGCCGGTTATAAACATGATAATCGGCAGACCAGAGGGAGGTGACTTGGCGAACACTAGAAAGGCCTGGGCCCGACAGTTGTATGTGGGGACAGTGTACGGGCGAGAAGAATGGTCAAAGAAAGCGTGCCGGGAGCCCATAAAGTTCACTGACAAGGATCTGCCCACGGGTGAGACACCGCATCGCGATGCCCTAGTCATCGCAATGGATGTAAGTGGGGTGGTCGTTCGACGAATCCTGGTGGATACCGGGAGCAGTGTCAACGTGTTATACACATAGACTTTCACCAAAATGGGACTAACCCAGGAACAGTTGAATCCGGTCAAAACTCCGTTCGCCGGCTTCACCAGCGACTCGGTAGAGGCAGAGGGATCCATTACCCTACCGGTGGAAATTGGCAGCTATCCTGACGTGCAGAAGCTCGACATGAAGTTCATCGTGGTGGACCTGGCCTGCTCGCATAATGCCATACTCGGCCGACCAGGCCTGAAAGATCTAGGAGCGCTGATCTCTAGCGAACACCTCTATTTGAAGTTCCGCACGCCGAGTGGGATAGGCACGGTTCGCTGCGACAGAAGGGTCGCCCGCGATTGCTATCTACAGGCCTGCCGCGGTATGGGTAAGCGCGAGATGCAAGTCCATGAAATCACTGAAAGGCCTCCGAAGAAAGCAATGATACCCCGCCCGGAGCCGGCCGTGGAATTAGAAGAAATCGAGATCGACCCTGAGCGACTCGACAGGCGGGTCCGGATTGGGGTAGGTCTTCCGGAAGAAATACGGAAGGAAATCATAAAGGTACTCCGAGAGCATCGACTTGTCTTCGCTTGGGGTGCGGAAGATATGCCGGGAGTCGACCGGTCTATCATCGCTCACTTACTCGTCGTAGACCCTGACCACCGGCCGGTCGTACAGAAGAAGCGTTACTTGGCCAACGACAGGAGGGAGTTTGTGAAAAAAGAGGTAAACACGATGCTAGCTGCGGGCCATGTCCGAGAAGTCAAATACCCAGAGTGGTTGGCGAACGTGGAACTCGTACCGAAACCTCCAGCCTGGCGAATGTGCGTGGATTATACCGACCTTAACAAGGCCTGTCTGAAGGATCCATTTCCGTTACCTCGGGTTGGCCAGTTGGTCGACGAGACCGCGGGGTCAGCTTTGCTAAGCATTATGGATGCCTTCAGGGGGTATCATCAAATCTTCATGCATCAAGCCGACGAGGAGAAGACGCCGTTCCTAACACCAGACGGAGTGTACTGCTATCGAGTCATGCCCTTCGGACTCAAAAATGCAGGGGCTACGTATACCCGGATGGTCGCACGACTGTTCCAAAACCTACTAGGAAAATCCATGGCGGCTTACGTAGACGACATGCTGGTCAAAAGTCGAGAAGAAGTCAAACACACGGAAGACCTGGCCGACTGCTTTCAGGTAATGCTAAGGTACAATCTCCGACTGAACCCAAAAAAGTGCGCCTTCGCAGTGCAAGGCGGGAAATTCTTGGGGTATATGGAGACCAAAAGAGGCATTGAGCCAAACCCCAAGAAAGTTTAGCCTATCATAGATATGCAGCCTCCCAGTACCGTTAAAGACCTGCAACGGCTGACTGGTCGACTGGCTGCCCTCAGCTGCTTCCTAAGTAAAGCGGCGGACAAGACTGTAACACCCCGTGTTACGGCCTTCAATCCTGGATTAATTATTTAATTAATCCCGCTGATAATAATTAAATATGATTTAATTATGTTAGGTTTCCCTTTAATTAATTAATAGGGTCCACCATGAACCGTGGACCCTTGCCTAAATTAGAGGCTTAAGCCTATTAGGAATAAAGAAAGTAAACCTTTTACTATTCAGATCCTAATTAGGAATCCTAGACCTAGTTATCTATTAGGAATAAAGGAAGTAGGCCTTTTACTTTTCAAATTATGATTAGGATCCGCTTTAATTAATATGGTCCAATATGGACCATGGACCCTTATCCCTAAAACAAGTCCCTAGTCCTATAAGGAATAGAATTAGTAAACCCATACCATTCAGACCCTAATTAGGAGTCTTAAATATATAAATAGGGAACTTAGGAGGCACCTAGAATTCCCACCACAATAATCTCTCACCATCCGAAGAGTTCCAAGAATTCCCCTAGGAGAAATCAAGAAAGCAAGAAAGCTTAAAGAAAGATCCTTCATAGCCAAGGAATTAATTAAGGCTAAGAGGTAACCCATGTCTCAACAAAACCTATTTTCATAGCTATGATTCCCCCTTAGGGTTTCCCCCATATTATTGTGTATTGGCGAGATGATGATTATATTTGATGTTTGATGTGATGATCCCATGAGGGATCTTGATAATCTTGATATTGGGAGATTCTTGATAATTATGGTGTTCTTGATGATTATATGGAATTCTTAATGATTATGTGTTGTTCCTGATAATTGTGTGATGCTCTTGATGTTTATGTGTTATTCTTACCGAATCTTGCAATTAGAAGACGAATCGTATTCTTGTAGATATAAAAGTGATTAGAACCCTAGGTTGTATCGTATGATATTATTCTTAGTGTATCGGGTGGGGAAATCGCATGTTCGGGTGTTGATTATGTTTAGAAAAGTATGATAGGTTATGTGCCGTTCGTTTCTCGTGTTTGATCCGTTAATTGTCTACGTGTTGTCGTTAATTACGTTGTAAAGTGTCTAAGCATGGTTTCGGGTTCCACAACGGTTCCCGGGGTGAAAAGTGATGAAAAGAGTCAGTGGGGGGGGGGGGTAGGTGGGGGTAGGGGACCCGCCACCTACCCGCGGCATTCTCGGGCAGCACCGGCAGCGGGCAGCCGGCGGGCGGGCAGCTGCCCGCCGGGCACCCGCTGCCCGAAACAGTAGCAGCCGGCGGGTGGACCCCCACCCACCGGCTACCCGCTGGAAATTACCCTACCTTGGGTTCCCGGATTCCCCGTTTGATGTTTCCCCGATCCCCGTGGTGTCCCATCGGACTCCGTTTATCGTGCCTATGTCTAGTTCGATGTTTCGGGTACCGTTCGTAGGTTTATGAGTCCATTATATTGCATGTTAGTTGAATTGGTATCCCGTGGACCTAGGTGGAAGAAGTATGAACCCCTTAGGACTATTCCTAGTATGTGATGGATCACGCATAGGTTTTGTTATACGTTTTATCCCCCTTCCCAATGTGCAATGTGGGTTGCATGTGCTTGCTATGTGTTATGTGTGCGTGCTACCCCAATTCGGTTGCGATCGGATTGGTTATCCTGAGCTGCGGTTCAGAAGCTGGCTGCGGTTAGATTGGTATTCCTAGCTGTGGTCAGATGACATTCTCTCGGGCTGCGGTCCACCGTTTGGTTGCGATCAAACGTTTCTATACGAGCTGCGGTTCGTCCTTTATCCTGGCTGTGGTCAGATGATACTCTCTTGGGCTGCGGTCCACTGTTTGGTTGCGATCAAACAATATGATGAGCTGCGGTTCATCGGTCGGTTGCGATCGACCTCCCCGTGTTGCGATACGGGGCATGGTGCTGTGGGGCCATGTCAGAGCTATATGCGCTGACCCGCATGTATGGGCATGCGATTGGTCCTGTGGCGCCAACAAAGTGCGTTATGTGTTGTGATATCGATGAGTTGTAGTTATGAATGACTTGGGGGATGTGACTATGGGTTTCATATTGGGGATTGCTTATGATGGGTTGTGATTACTATTTATGCCTTGCCTTATCTGTCTTATCTGTTGTGAACTGCATACTCTTGTTATAACTGTTGCTTGTGTCTAACCTCGTATGTCGAGTCATTCCCGGTTTTAAAGCTAGAGTTCGTAGGATATATCTTCATGCTCAAAATGGTTTTCGTATATCTATATATATCTCTATATGTATTGTATTTTAACGCGTTGGAGTGGGTTACCAACATCTCTCACTGAACAGATATATTTGGCTTTGAGGCACAGAAGATTAAGTCACTAGAGCGCGCTAGAACTCGGAGTGTAGAAATAGATAGTTTCCCTTTCGGCCTGCGTGCCATGTTTATACATTTATGCTTTTGAGGATATTAGTTAGTTAGCCTGTGCATCTGGGTTCTCTAGCCCAGGTGTGGCATAGCACCCCGAACACTTGTATTATATTCTGGGATTTAATAAGATTCTACCTTTATTATAAGCTTTAAAAAGTCTTAAAAATCTGGGGTGTTACAGTTGGTATCAGAGCCTAAGTTTAACCCTAGGATAAGACCCTTAAGACCGGACTTTAGGACATCAGGCTTGAACTCTAAGTATCTAGGAACATAGGACTCAGGAATCTTAGGACGCGCGGTGAGATTGTGAAACCTACACATAACCTCCCCTCACTTTATCCCTCCATGACTTAAAGAACCCCCTACGCTTACCACACCAAGGTAAGGGTGCAGCACACTGACCCATCACTACAATAAATATTGGCCCTAAAGACCAGCAACACGTCGCCAACAAGAAGACAGTCAAGGACCCCACACTCCTCGCAGAACGAATCCGAACATTCAACAAAATCCTTGGGTTAATGGGATGCCCAGGGGAGCACCACGTAGAGATAGCCTCGTTCGAGGACACGAGGCTGATCTTTGATAAACCCAAAAAGGACCCACTTATGGGTAACAACCGGGGGTCAAACTAGGAGTGCCTAGGGGCACGACTACAAGGACGGTTCCACCCCGCAGCCGCAAGGGCAACCACGTACAAGAAATCCCCGACCACCTCCGTCGAACGCAAACGCAAACTTCGCCCGACAAGTCTCTAACCATCGACAACCCACATCCTCAGGAGAAGAGGATACCGTAATCCTAGGAGAATGGATCCGAACCCTCGACAAAATCC